ACGGACGGGGCGCCTGCTGCCGCTTTCTCTCGGCCTGGCTGGCAGCCGGACAAACCTGCAGGAGCACCCGCCTCCCGGGGCTGCGGGAGAAGAGGGGACTGGAGGAGGTCTTCTTCTAAATGTCAAAACCTACAAGGGCAAATCTTCACTGCAGATGCAAAAGGAGAGGAAAAAATGCCTTGCTAGAAGAGCAAAGGGCTCGTTAGCGGGTCGTGGGGTGGCTCAGCCTTTGTCTGGCTGGCAGAGGTGTACAGCCCAGCCAGGAGAATCTCCGTTCCACCTTCTAAACACTAACCTGTGTCGTTTGAGATCCGAATACTTTCCAGCAAGTTTGAGGCAGGTTCAGTGTTTGCAAATACCACAGCCTGCTTCACGGTAGGCAAATAAAGGCAAGAGAGGGATATGGGGAAAGCCCCTCTGCACACTCCCTGATGGGTAGGTGGCTACAAAATCAGGAGGACAATTTGGAATGGGCTGCTGAGAGCAGGAACAGGACAGGTATGATCTGGGGAGAGCCCGAGAACGATGTGGGGGCAAAGAGAGAGATCCAACAGCTTTCTTTAGATCCTCATGATTTCCACATGGTAACCAAACACACAAGGCTACCCTGGCTTCCCCAGAAAGGCGGCATGCCAGCAGCAGCCACTGACCCAGCAATATTTGAATCACAGACATTACAAGCATGCCATTTCTATCTGCGCCGTTTCCCTATCTCCAGGGCAACTGCCTTCAGCAACTGTTTACTAAGAGGAGAAAAAGCCAAGTTTGGGGAGTTGACTTAAACATGACCAAAGGCTGGATTTCGGAGATACACCCCTGAGAGCCTACTGACGGTCTGCACCTCTCCCCGCTCCTCCCAAATTGCTGGGGTTAGAGGGGAGACAAGGAGATCTGCCGGGAATCGAGGAACTTGTATCCAGCCAGGATCATATCATCACAGAACAATCACTTTGGCAGAATCTCTCTTAAGTGAGTGCTAAGTATCTGCTAACTGCTGTACCGAAATTGAAATAATCCCCCTTTTTAAAGTCTATTATTTGCTGGAAAGCAGAACGTCTATCCATGGATTAAGCTAGTGAACGCCTGCGGTGGGTCGGTCAGAAAGCAATCCTTCTATTTGGAGGGAAAAGATATCTTCGTTTGATTTGTACGATTGCTTCAGCCACATCAGTAAACTGATTACGGCACCCAGGTGATGCGGGCCACCAACCCAAACGCACAAGCCTGGGAGACACCCCGCTCCAATTCTGGGAGCCCTGAGCCAGCTGCCTCTTCCCACTCTTCTTTGGGGGAAGAGCGAGAGGCTGGGACAAAAAAACGTCATTCTCTGGTCCTGGAGCAGAGAAAAGCATCTCTCATTCCTCCCGCCATCCTTCACAGCAAAGTCCCAGTCCTCCTTCAGACCTAAGGCCACGAGAGTTTTCCTAGTGGCTTTGACTACAAGACTGCAGACTGACCATGCATTAACAGCTCTGCCAGCATGCTTCTAAGCAAGAAAAAACTCTCACTGTCCTTAAAAAAAAAAAAAAAGGCCTCTGGCTGTGAAAGGAAGGACAACTATTTACTCCAGGCCTGCCGGGGAAAGGCAGCACAGGGGTTCGCATCGCCAGCAGGAAAATTAGGGCAGAAAGTTTCCCTCCTGGTGTCTAAGAGAAGTCGGGGAGCCGAGCGGCTGCCTCGCACCCGGCAGTCTCCATCCCTGGGGACGGAGCTTGCTCTGCGGTAAAAGGACACGCGGCAGGATGGGTCCCCCCGGTCCTGTTTCACAAAATCACCCTGACCTCTGCCCCCCGACACCCTCCCTGCCCCGGCCAATCCACCAGAGAACAAGAAAATTTCCTCAGCGCCGTTCCCGCTTCCCTCTGCAGCCTCCCTCATCCCTCGCTAATCCACAGAAGTTACCTAACGCCGGGGGTACAGCGAGGATTAGTTAATGTTTGTGCAGCTTTTCCGAGATAAAAGCTACGCGAGATCTCAGCATTTATTATTGATGCACTAGTCAACGGTGCGAGGCTGTGCGTATGTGGGGGGGAAAATTCCTTCCCGAACCCTGCGGCGATCACTTTACAAGCCAAAGCAGGGGATTGTGTTACGGCCTGGGAGCCCTGAAAACCAGCCTGGACCTTCACCAGCCCAAAAAAACCCCACCAAACCCCAAAAGAGGATACAGTTGGTAGCTCGAAGCACTGCTGGCAGACTCCGGGTGATCCCTGCTCCTGGCAGGGAGCACTCTGACCTTCAGGGACACGAGGGATTGGTGCTCACCGAGCCAGGCAGCGCCGGCGCTGGGCTTCGAGCCGCCCTCCCCAAAACCCGAACGCCGGCGGGGGCGCGCCCGCCGGCCACC